CGCAAATTTTTAAAACCAATTAGCGAGGGAATAATTCTGTCGCAGAACTTAACCCAAATTTTTAAAAATATTCAGCGAGGGATATTTCCGTCGCAGAACTTAACCCAATTTTTTAAAAACATTCAGCGAGGGAATCATTCCGTCGCAGAACTTAACCCAGATTTTTAAAAACATTCAGCGTGGGATATTTTCGTTGCAAATTTTAACCTATATTTTTAAACAAAATCAGTGAGGGATTTGTTCCGTCGCAAATATATAAATATAAGATATATAAAAATATATATGTATAAATATATATATATATATATATATGTATAAATATATATATATATATAAATATATAAATATATATATATATATATAAATATATATAGGGTATATTTCTTTTACAACCTTGTGTATTTGTACAACCCTTTCAACTCAATTAATTGAGATATTTATAGAAATGATGAAAGTTCATTTATTATGATTTGAATATTTATAAAATGTCAAGGGTTGTATAATAACCAACCAATAAAACCGAATAAATCCCAATAAGACCCAATAACATCGAATGAAGACTATTAAAGCCCAATAAAACCGAATCAAGCCCATCAAGGCCCAATGAAATCGAATCAAGCTCATAAAAATGAGAAAATAGGAAAAATAGGAAAATCCCTCGTTGATCCCTCGCAGATCAGCGAGGGAATATGATTTTTGCAAAATCCCTCGCTGATCCCTCGCTGATCTGCCAGGGATCAGCGAGGGAATGGGCATAAAGCATTTTCCCTCGCAGATCAGGGAGGGATCAGCGAAGGAATATGATTTTTGCAAATTCTCTCGCTGATCCCTCGCAGATTAGCAAGGGATCAGCGAGGGATTTTGCAAAAATCATATTCCCTCGCTGATCTGCGAGGGATCAGCGAGGGAATTGTCTAATTTTTTTATTTTTATTTTTTTTATCAGGGCTTAACCTATTTAACTGAGTTTTGTTCGGTTTTATGGGCCTTATTCGGTTTTATTTCGCCCAAATATAAACCCATTAAGGCCCAACCAAACCGAATAAAACCCATTAAGGCTCAAATAGAACCGAATAAAACCCATTAAGGCTCAAATAGAACCGAATAAAGCCCATTAAGGCCCAATAAAACCGAATAAAGCCCATTAAGGCCCAATAAAACCGAATAAAGCCCATTAAGGCCCAATAAAACCGAATAAATCTCATTTAGGCCCAATAAAACCTAATAAAACCGACTCGACGAGTATATATATAAA